GCAATTTCAGTCGCTTGCAAACTAATTGAACAGGATCATGTAAAAAGATATGGTTTTTAATTGGAACTAGGTAAAGCTAAGCGGTTGCTCAGAGAAATTTTAGAACAAGCATTTGCTTGAAATAGCCTAACCCTTTCCTAAGGATATTAAAATTCACAATTTCTTATAAGCAAGCCGTGCATTATGTTACTTTCATGAAAAACATTAGCAAACATGAACAAATTAGGTATAGGCTATGTTTCATTTGAGCATAAATGACTTCAACCTGCTGGTGCTCCAATTGCGGTCATTGTTGAAGCGCCTGCTGGTGCACCAATGGCAGTCATAGTTGATTTTCCTGTAAAACGTCCATTTATGGAATAATAAATTTGATTTCATTCGTTATTTACTATTGAAGCAATTGTGAGGACACAAGCACTTTGTCACTCATTCTTCTGCGATCTCATCGCTTGATACGCTCTACTTGGAAGTGGAGCATAGCCCCAATCAAGGATGTGGAACGAGTGTAACCATTACTAGGGTCGTTTTCCTTTATATCGAGAGCTTCGCATTATTACCCAAGGATCGCTAACTCTAATTTTTAGCCACTTCGACCAAGTAGTGGCATCCTTCCCAAACTTTATCCTTTCATTTTGAACATTTTCTAGTTCTGTTCAGATGATTATGGTCGGTCTTTCGACAATGTTATAGGTAAACACTAGGCAACCAGCCATGTCTTACTGCTCTTCAACGAGAACGACCTTAATCTGTTCTTAGACATACCTGCAGGTGCTCCTATGGCGGTCATAGTAGAAGCTCCTGGTGCTGCTGCAACTGGTACTGCTGCAACTGGTGCTGCTCCAGCAGCTGCTGAAACATGAAATTTACTCTTTTAGTCACACATTTGAGTAAGAACGAAGAAGAAACTTACGTAAAGGCGCAGCAGCTCCGCCAACTGGTGCAGCTCCTCCGCCTACACCGAAATATGCGGATTGTGCCCCACCACCACCTGCACCTCCAGCTACACCGAAATAAGCGGATTGTGCACCACCCGCTGGTGCACCGGGTGGAGGTGCTCCGCCACCAGCACCGCCTGGTGTTATACTCTTCCCAGCAACTCCGAAATATTGAGATTGGGCGGCGCCGCCTGTTCCACCAGCCGACCCGAAATAGACCGAAGTCATCGCAAGTAGACTACAAGTAGACTGAACCTCCCTCTAGATTTTTTCTTTTATATGTTTAATCTGCTTATCATTGCTAACCTCGCTTAGCAACACCAATATAAACATTTATTTCATTCTCAAAATAGTCCTTTAAGATTAATCTAGAGAATTAATGCATTATCTTATTATAGTGGTATGAAGCAAGCAACAAAAAAAAAAAACCACGTCCCTTCTGTTCTTTTCCTCCTGTAACTATGTGCGATACAGGATTAAGAAATCCATGGTGCAATTTGCATCTCTCAACCATTACCAGTGCTGGTCCATCGGTCCGGCAACACACTACCTCATCGTTATCACTCACAAGGATGTCTTTCTTCTTTT